TCTACTTTACCAAGCATGATGTCCTTCTCCAGGGACTGGAGCCTCCTGATGACATATCGGAAGTGCATTAAAACAAAGTCTGGCCTTCCTGGTTTATAAGAGTATTGTGGACGGTCTAGCCCACCACAAAAGGTAGACATACAACTTGCTAAGGGTGAGACAGGGAGGAGGTTGGGAAAAATGGTGATGCAGAGGACTGGGGATGGAAGGAAGCCCCGCTTCTTTGGAAAGGGAGCAGGAGAAGCAGACGTCTTTGGACAAATGAGCTCTATCTGCCAGAAAGTGCATACAGAGGAACCAGTGTCCAGGTCAAACTCGACTCTGTCAATGGTGGCCACAGAGCCATTCTCATGAATGCAGCTGGACTGACCAGGAAAGGAAGGAGAATGACCTGGCACAGGCGATGGAAGACATGGAAGGGATCCTTCATTTTGTGGAGGGAGTGAGATTGAACCACAGCCACTGACAGGCAGCATTTCCGGTCAAGGAAGGCCCGTGTCCCAGGCCCCCAGGCTCGTGCCATATGGAAAGATCTGTACTGGAAGGCAGTTGCTGACAAATCTTGGCCTCACTCTCTGGACTCTAGGGGACTGTGGGGCAGAGTGAAGGACAGTGACCTGAGCACATTCACTGACCACTCTTTGTTCTATCAGGGCTGTGGTTCTGTACGGAATGCCTTCTCCAATGTTCTCTTCTCCACCATGACTTCAGTAGGGCAGGCTCCGCCCCTAAAGGGAAGGTCCTCCGTACTCCCAGATACAGTAGACCCAATTTTGAGAGGGACACAGAGGCTAGTTCTTTTGCCACCTCAGTAAAGCTGCTTTCGTTATTTTTCTCAGCAACAAAACTGACCTTTTTACTTGACTCCTGCTTTGGTCTTGATTCTCAGATGAGGTGGATACACAGTAGGTGATGCATTTGGTCCAGCACTTTGAGATCAAAGGACCCAAATAAACGAGGAGATTCATTCAAAAGTCACCTCCTGGTTCAGAACTCTTTGGGAGAGACTTCAGGGTCAGCGAACAACCTCAAACCCGGATTGTGGAGTGTTTCTGGTAAGAGAGTACTGGGGTTGGGGCTCCCTTTGGAAGCTGCTCTCTACGTGCATGATCAGTTCCTGGTAGCACTCTGAGTCACTCCCACCCACACCCTTGCTGAACAAGGTGCTGGCCATGCCTTCAAGCCTGGCAAAACCCACTCTCACTCCATGGCATAGCCTTCTCTTGTCTCTGTGGAGTCCCTGTAAGCCCAGTCCCTCACTGGAACAGAACCACTCCAGCAGTTATGTAGGGCCCACCTCACCTCAAGGTAAGGATGACCATGCAATGTTATTTTACAATTATCTCTCCCACCCGGCTCCTCTGAGAGGGCAGGATCTGTGTCTCCCTTGTCTGTTTCTAGCACTGGGCATAGGCTCACTGTAATCCGTCTAAGGGGGAAAGGGATCCATTAATCAGTAGCTGCCTTCAGCCTGTGGTGCGATCTATCATGGGTACATTAGGTGAACAGTTTGGGACATAAATATAACCCTCACTCACTTCTATATTGTTCTAGTTCATGGTGACCCCATGTGTGCAGACAAGAGCTGCCCCACGGGGTTTTCAAGGCTGTAACCTCTCAGAAGTAGATTTCCAGACCTGTCTTCTGAGGAGTCTCCCCACCCACTGCCTTGTGTCCTTTCTGACTCAGAGCGACCCTGCAGGACAGACAGACTAGCAAACCACCCCACAGAGTTCTGGAAGCTGTAAAGCTTTACAGGAGCAGATTGCCCCCTCTTTCTCCTGGGGAAGAAAAGGATGCTGACCTTTCGGTTAGCAGCCAAATGCTCAACCAAGTGTGCCCCTAGGCCTCCATCTCCAATTCCAGAAACTCAAAAAGCCAAGTCCACTGCCATCGAGTGGATCTCGACTCATAGCAACCCTACAGAGGGCTTCTGGGTCTGTAAATCTTACAGAAGCAGGCAGCCTTCTTGTCTTTCTTCCATAGAGTGGCTGGTGGGTTTGGATCAATGACCTTGCACTTAGTCGCTCAGTGGTTCCTAAATGTCTACAAAACCTAAGAATCTCACTGACATCAAGTTGATTCTAACTCCCAACAAC